GTTATATATTTACCGTGATTAAAAATAAAAATAAGAAAAAGTATATTGGATTTGGGGGCAGAAGGCAGAAGTAAAAGAATATGTGACCTGGAAGAGCCAAGTGTATGCTTGGTGGGGATATGGAAAGAGAGGATGGCCTCAGTCAGGCTGAGGTCAAATTGTGAATAAGTCTAAGAGCCCTGCTAAAGAATCTGGACTTCTAGAGGGTGCAATGTATTTAACTGTTGTTGTGTTGTTACTTTTATTTTAGCTTGGAGAACCGGTTGACTTGTAGAGGAGTAACAGGCCTAGAGATCACCACACAGCAGTTACAAAAGCACAAATAAGAAACCTCAAGAGCTTAATGTATGGTGCTGGTAATGGGGCAGAGGGAGAGGAGGGCTGTGAGAGGGTAGCAGAGGCTGAATCCTTATGGTTTGTGGCACAAGAGAAGGATGAGGAAGGGCAAGGAGTTGAGGATGACTCTACACTATTCCAGTCCACTGTCTTGCTCTTACTTCAACATGCCTGTGGCTTAGAGAGATTGGGTGGCTGGAACAACCACAAATGGCTAGTGAGATGCAGAACTAAGGATCAAATCCACGTTTCCTGACTCTCAGCATCTTTTGCTCTTACAGAGTCTCATAATTAAAGTGTTAATTTTATTTTAAATCCCTGCATACAATTTAATCAGTTTGAGGCTGGCAAGGTCCTTTGGTTTTCTGCCTGACCTTATTTTTGTTTCTGACTCCTCCAAGCCACTGCGTTCCATGGGGCCACTTGCTTGGGGAAGGGGACTGTTCCCAGCTCAGTTGCAGCTCCAAAATGTCTCCTTTTCCCTTGACCCTTTGTTCTCTTGCTTGTGGACTTCCTATTTCCCCTACCCAGAAGAGAAGAGTTAGCTTAGCCAGGCCCAGGAGAAGTATGTAGATGGTTGTAAATTAATTTCCATGGTTTCATCATTATTAATCTTGTCTAGGTACATGATTAGAGGCCAATGACATACTAATTAGTCACTGTAATTAGCAAATGTCAGAGAGGATCCAGGGGCTCCATGGGTTAGACACAAGGGGTTGCCTTTGATAGTGGGGTCATTCAAGGCCAGCCTGCCTCCTGTCACATCCATCTTTATTTGGCTCATCAACCCACCCAAGACATATTGTGTATGTTTTATAGGTTTACCTGCTTCTCAATGTAAAGAATTTCCTTATGTTTATTATTTGTAAATGAAGACATCAAATAATTTGATGAGTGATGAGTTAAATAGTGGAATAGAAAATAATAAGAGGACAGAGCTTGTAGGGAGTCCAGAAGGCAGGAAAATTGAATCCGTATCTCAGCCATGCCCAGGCTGGTGTGCAGCCTTAGGCAATTCACATCACATGCCCATCAAAGCGAGGCCTGTTTGCTGGATCTGGAAGTGGGAGAGTGGGCTTCTCTCCAGTGGTTGCTACTTGATGCACTACCCCTCCATTCCCTATCTTCCTTACTCTGATTTATTTTTTGCCATATCTATATCATATATCATCTGATATATTTACTATTTATGTTTATTATCTGCCTTCCCATACTAAAATCTAAGCTCTAAGAAGGCAAAGGGTCTCTGAAATTTTTGTTCCCTGCTATATCCCAGTCTCTGGAAGTGTGTCTATCACATATTAGTCACCCAATAAATAATTGTTGAATGAATGCAGGCATAAATAAATGAAATTCTGAGAGAGTGCAATCTAGAAACAGGTTTTGTAGCTACCTGGAATGTCATTGCCTTGCATGCTACCCTAAATCATAGCCTAAGATTGATCCCGCACAGAAGGATGACAGGGAAGGGGAAAGAAGCCCGAACTAACACAGGACAATTACAAAGGGCACAACCTCTACACATTTGCAAACAGATATAATCCCTCTCCTAATTCCTTTATACCTTTTCTCAAGTTTGACTCAAAATGACCTCAGTTTTATTCCATTCCTTGGTTTTATCCTCTTCATCACTATCTGAGCAATTCAGCTCTAGTGCACACTCTAACCCACCAGAGGATCCTACAAATCTTTTAGACCCTGGAAGTTTCTGAATCCATGGACAATCTTCCACCTCAGAAAGCCTGACAGACACCAAGTTAACAGCACAATCTCCTTTTGAATTGTTTATTAAGCAGACTCTACGTTCACCCTCCCAGGTAAAGGATATGCCAAGTGCCAGAAATATCAGCCATTTGTCACGCTATCCAAAAAAGCAGACAATGGCTGATAGCTTTCCTAGGAAAAAGATAATAGAAAATCAGTATCAGTTTCTTCTAGATTGCAATGGGTATGTTGGCAGGAAAAAAAATGGGATGAACCAATGAATGACAGCATCAAATGCAGATCACTTCTTCCACATGAAAGGATGGTGGGTCTCCACTTCCACAAGCATGGACTGTGCCCATCAGAATCACAGGAAGCAACTTCACTTCAGTCTAACCCAGCAATGGTTTTAAAGTGAGCTTGTACCACCCAACAGTAAGAAATTCTGCCAGTACGTTATTGCCTTCAAGTTCCATATAGTTTCATGGCGTCTTGTGGCTGTTAAAAAAGTGACCCAACTTATACAGCTGTTGGACAGCTATCTCTGTCTAAGATGCTTTTTACATTTCCAAAGAACCAGAACCTTTCCTCCCACTAAGTTTTTTCTAAAAGCACAAGCAATAGTTTGGGGCAAAGGGAATCTAAAGAAGAGCATGTAGATTTCTCTCTATTTTTCTAAGGAAGAAATCAACGTGGTAAATAAAGTGGAATAAGTATACTCTAAGTATCCATCATAGTGATGTAACACATTACAAATCATGAGGCAGTTTTTACAAGCACTATGTCATTGATATACATATAAGTTAAGTAAGGTAGGTAGGAAGACATAATTATATTCATGTTATAGATAAGGAAATTGAGGCTCAGAAAAAATAACTAATTTGGCTACATTCACATAACTGGCTTAGAATGCAAATCAAGACTCCAACGTAGTCTTGAGATGTTAAGTACATTGTTCTTCCCACCATGTGTAGCTGTGCCTCCATTCAACACCACTTTAAGACAATACATTTTCTGTTTAAACACATTATACGATGGTCTTTAACAATGCAATATAGATGGGACATTAGCTGAAAGCCTGCAGAATTTAGATGCAAATTGCATATTAGTGTCAAATCAGCTTGCCACAGGGACTTCTTACCAGGCAAGTCTGGTGACAGGGCCTGTTCTCTCCTTCCCTTTGCAGAGTCAGTCTCTGCACTCTGCAGGAAGGGCCTTGGTGTGTACAGAGAGAGGCCTGAGTGCCAGACAGCACTGTTGCAAAACCAAGAGGATCAGAAAACTCAGTGAAACCTACAGGACAACTTTAGGGGCTGCGACAAATTGGTCACACTGCAGTGCCTGTGTCAGGCTCGCCTGTGATGAAGTCCACTCTTGTCAGTTGTTCACTGCCTGGCCTTAACAAGCTGTCTGACTCTTCTGAGCCTCAGTTTGCTGAGTTGCAAATGGGGGTATAATTTTGCCTATCTCACAAGTGTATTGTGAAGCTTAAGTGATAGCACTAGGCATCAATTCTAGTACACAGATGGTGCTAGAGACGTAATAATGTCCTTTCTTACTTCTTATGACCAACAAAAGCAAGGAGATGGAAACCGACAGAAGCTTGGATTCTTATTTTCCAACTTGTTCATTGGAGCATGCAATTCTTATCCCTGCAGCCCAGTGGCTGACTTATGAGTTCTGTCTATGTCTATTGAACCAAATTTGTAGAAAGAGTGTCTTATCCCTATAGCCATCTCCCTGCCATCATCCCAACAATCAACAAGCACCAAGGGGGAGGGAACTTCAGGTGGCCTTTACTTCAGGGTCTGCCATAAAAATGAATTAGGCCATGGTGGTTCACGCCTGTAATCTCAGCACTTTGGGAGGCCGAGATGGGTGGATCACCTGAGGTCAGGAGTTTGAGACCAGCCTGGCCAACATGGTAAAACCCAGTGTCTACTAAAAATACAAAAATTAGCCGGGCATGGTAGTGGGCACCTGTAATCCCAATTATTCCAGAAGCTGAGGCAGGAGAATCACTTGAACCTGGGAGACGGAGGTTGCAGTGAACCGAGATCATGCCATTGCACTCCAGCCTGGGCAACAAGAGTGAAACTCCATCTCAAAAAAAAAAAAAAGAAGAAGAAGAAGAATCAACAGGCAAGCCTCCTGTCTCTATCTCATTTACAGCATGGCATAGTAGAAAAAGCAGTAAGCTGGGATCACAAAGCCTAGGTTCTCTGTAGCTATGCCCCTTGGACACATAAAGCCTCAGTGTTCTCATCTGTGAAAAAGGAGTCATAATCTCTGCCTCCCTGGAGACGGTGTGTATGGAACCAGGACAAAGTAGAAGACATGAAACGCAACAGGTGGGTGAGGCACTAAGAAAACTAATGAGGCTGGGTTTGTTTACAGGGTCCCACTGGGGGCTGCTGTGTGCTATCCTCCCCTCGCTGGCTCCAACTCCTGCAGACCCTTGGCATCTGTTTCTCCAAACCCTGGAGCTTTGGCAAAGGGCTCTGAAGCTTACCAGGAGAGACTGAGGGGAGCCCACAGTGAGACAGCAGCACCTTTCTAATGAGCCACTAAACAGAGTAGATTTATAAGTCAATAAACACGGGCCCATTGAGAGTGCAGGCTCCCAACTGCCTCCGTGGGAGGGGACCTCGCTGGGCTCCACATGTGGCACCCTCTGAGGAGGGTGGGAGTGTGGGGGCGGGGAGCCGGCCCAGCACGTTCGGGCAGCCCTGAGCTGCATCTCTCTCCTCCACTCCACCGTTCTTATTCTCCGCAGTGAGCGCCTAGCTCCTGCTGGATCAGAGCCTCTACAGGGTGGAAAGGGAAACTGAGACAGGTAACTCAGACCAAAATAATGCTGCAGCAGAGCAGGGATTTGAGTTCCTGTCTACGTCTATAGACATAATCCACCATAGAAGCACAAAATCCACCACAGAAGCACAACTATCCCGTGTCCTCACCTGAAATGGAAGCAGCAGATGAGAGCCCTGGCCGCACCAGCGAAGGCTGAGCATTCGTCGAACTCAGAGTCGGCTTCAGGGTGTGGAGAGCAGCCAGCAGGGCTCCGGGCTGTTGCTCAGAGCTGGGCGGCAGGCAGCAAATGCCCCCTTGCCAGGAGACATGCCCTCTGATGAAGACCTATTCTCCAGAGACCCTGCAGGCTGCAGCTATGCTGTCACTAAAAAGCAAATTTATAACCCAAGAGTTGGATAATTTAAGCAAGAATTGGGAGGCGCTAAAATCTCGATCAGTAAAAATACTTTTTTCTCTCACCAAAAACTGAACGAACGCCGCCTCCACTCCCCTCCCCCGCCACATCCCGTTTCTTTAAATGGAGAACACCCATAGTGCAATTAAAATGACTTTTTGGAAAAATTGGATTTCTAAGCAATCTGCAGTTGGAAACAGGTGTTCCTGTCGTGGGGTAAAAGGTGCTCAGCTGCTCCCGCATCCTCTCCTGCCTCCCTCCGTTCAGGGCTCGGGCCTGATGTGAGCCTGGCTGCTGCTGTACTGCATGGGGGATGGTTGTCATCTCCAGACACTGACTTTAGGGGCAGACCCAGCATCCTGCCACCGCGGAGCAGGACAGGCAGCGGCGCCAGAGCCAAGCTGGGGCGTGCAGTGCACCTGCCTGTCAGCCGGCTGGGGTGCCGAGGCGTCGCATCACAATTGCAGGATACAACACATCTGCCTGCATGTCAGCCGCGGGGGGAGACGCAGGCAGCTGATAAGCAGGCCATTTGTTCCTTTTTAGTGGAGGAAGGGGATGTAGAGTAATGTAGTGTAACAGCAGCAAAAAGCGCAAGCCAGCAAGAAAGCCTTTCTTCAAAACCTTCTTAGCTTTCAACGCATCAATTCAGCATATTGTCAAATCAAATGGAAAAAAAACACATCCGAGGGGGTGGGAGAACACTGTGTGCTGGAGACTTTAATGCAGTCCAGCCTCCTACTCTATGAGACCTTACATGGTTACCCCTCATCAGGCTGCTGTATCCAAGTGGTTCTGTTAACCCAGGTGGATGAGACCAAGAAGGAGCTGGTCACGTGGCCAACACAGCTTCATGGCTTTCCTGCCTGTCCTCCCCCACCCCCTGCCCAGCCTGCACGGATGTTTGGCATTTCGCTCAGTGGGGGGCATTACGGGCTTCGCTGAGAGGTGATGGAGAGAAGCCCAGGTTCTTCAGCTCAAGCTCCTCTTTAAATAGTAGTGAGGGACAGGCTGGTTAACCTTGTTCTCCTCTGGAGGAAGCCAGCCTCAGTGTCTTTGTCTTCTTTGTCGCCTATATTCTATATAAGAAGAGTGTCCCAGCCTTCTTTGCAAGCTGTGTGCAGAAAAGAGACACAAAAAGGTGCCAGTTTTACAAAAAGGCGGAGTTGCTAGCTGCCGACAGGGTGGCGCAATTGCACAGGTCCCAGGAAATCTCAACACCAGATGCCCTGCAGACCTGAAAATCTTGTCTCTCATCCAATGACCAATTGCTTGAAATTCCACCATGCAAAGCTCATTCTTTTGTTTTGGGATCCAGTTGGCCAGGAAATGCCTCTAGTCATCTGGGATATTTAAACGTCAGAGAGAATAAGCATAGGTAATCTTTACTTGAGATTTTTCTTGAGATTAAAATAAAGGGGAAGGGGATCTCCTAAGGAATGAATTAAAAGTAAAGGGGAAGGGGCTCCCCTAAGGAATGGATAACCAGCAAGTGCTGCAGGCAGAGAAAACCTCCCCCTTATCTTGGCACAAAGGACAGAGATCTCTGTGGTTTGCCTTAGAGAAGCAAAACTGGCCCTTGAGGTGGTTTGAGGGAGCTGGGGAGGACTAAGGGTCAGGGAAGGGGAAAGTGACAATAAAGTTGCCAAAAAAAAAAAAAAAAAAAAGGCACTCAGCACAGCAACAGGCCTGGAAAACCCCTCACCCTGGTGTCCTTGGTAGGATATATGGACTTGCAGGGCCACCTAGTTGGGGTTAGCTCCGACAAAGCTCTCAGCCACCCTGGGCACTTGCTCACGTATGGCCTGAGCTATATCCTCTCTTTCCTTTACTCTGTCTCCGTATAGAATAATATGCGATTAATTGATTTTCTGTCACTCTTTTAGTACAGAAAATTAATTTCAGAGCAACCTTGTTTTCTCAGGGTATGAATCCTCTACACGCAGAGTAATTCAGCTCCTCCATTATTCATGAGAGGAAATAGTGATGGAGTGTGCACAGAGGCCGCCCCAAGGCCACAAAGTGATAGTCTGTGTTACTGATACAACAATATTCCACTGGCGCCTCTAAATAATTCACATCTACAACTCAATTTGGGCCTGCGTGCTGCTCAGGATGTGGCTGGGGGAAGCACGGCTGGGAGATTTGGGAGATTCTCAATGACAAGGAAGAGGGGAAGCAGGCAGGGCCTCCCGATGCCATCCTGAGGCTGGCAAAGGAGCGGTCTCCTGGGGTCTGAAGCTGCAGCCTGTTGCTGCAGTCCCGGGTCCCCCTTCATGGCAAAGCTCACACCTGTTCTGTGAGACAGTTAAGAGCTTCTCAAAGAAGACACACAAATGGCCAACAGGTACATGAAAAAAATGCTCATCATCACTAATCATCAGGGAAATGCACATGCAAACCACACTGAGAGATGATCTCACCCCAGTCAGGATGGCTATTATCAAAAAGACAAAACATACAATAACAATGCTGGCAAGAAATCAGAGAAAAGGAGACTCTTATACGCTGCTGGTGGCAATGTAAATTAGCACAGCCTCTATGGAAAACAGTATACAGGTTCCTCAAAGAACTAAAAATAGATCCAGTCATCCCCCTACTGGGTATTTATCCAAAAGAAAGGAAATCAGTATGTCAAAGGGACACCTGCAGCCCCATGTTTATTGCAGAACTGTTCCCAATAGCCAAGATATGGAAGCAAACTAAGTACCCATCAATAGATGAATGGATATGGAAAATGTGGTATATATCACAATGGAATACTATCCACCCATAAAAAAGAATGAAACCCTGTCATTTGCAGCCACATGGATGTCACTAAAGGTCATTATGTTAAGTGAAATAAACCAGGCACAGAAAGACAAATATTTCCTGTTCTCACTCACATGTAAGGCCTAAAACATTGGTCTCGTGGAGGTAGAGAGTAAAACGATAGTTACTAGAGGCTGAGAAGGGAGTGGGAGGGGGTTAAGAAAGGTTGATGAATGAGTGCAAGCATACAGTTAGGTAGAAGGAGTAAATTCTAATATTCAATACAGAGTAGGATGACTGTAGTTAATAACAATGTATTGTATATTTCAGAATAGCTAGAAGAGAGTTGAAATAATACCAACACAAAAAAAATGATAAGTGTTTGAGATTGTAAACATCTCAAATACCCTGACTTGGTCATTACAAATTCTATGCATGTATCAAAATATCATATGCAGCCCATATATAAGTATAATTATTATGTATCAACAAAAATAAATAAATAAGAAACACATCATGAGACTGCTGAGAGAGAAATGTGAGCAAACAGGTGGAGTAGCTAGCTGCTGGAGAAGCTGGGCAGGACCTACAGACATCAGATTCAGCTCATCTCTTACTTCCAGTTTTAAGGATTCTGCCTACTTTGTTTTGTTTATTTGAAACCTAGCTGTTCATCAAGCCCTTTATCTGCAGCATTTGTAAAAAGTGCAGATTCCTGTACCCAACCCAGACCTACTAAATCAGGAGCTCCTGCAAGTCTGTCTTTTGAACGAGTTCCCAGGTGATTCTTCTTATGTGGTTGTTCTCACAGGAGCTGCTGGACTAGATGATACCCAACGGCCCTTCCAGTTCGGACATCCCCTGATGATTTTAAGCAAGAAAATGGTGAACCCAAGCCTGGGAAAGGAAGGGCTGTCTCATAGGACTGTCAGTAACCAATGGAACAAGTAGATCACCCTATCAGCTAGGGAGGAACGGAGGGAAAGAAACAAGGTCCAACATATAACAGAGTTCATCAAGCCTGCTGTCTTCTCTCTCAAGACTGAAGCCCGAGAAAAGACGTGTGTCCCTGATTGCTTCCAAAAAACGTCAGTGGCCTACATGCCATATCCAGGCCATCTTGAAATGGGCATACATGGTAGGAAGGATTCTAAGATGACCCCAGATTCACACCTACTACTGTCCATGCCCTGTGTAATCCCTCCACTTGGATTTGGGCAGGGATGGAGAATATGATGGCTCTGTGTCCCAAGATTAAATTACTAATGAGTTCACTCTGACATAACCAAAGGCAGGATTTGAACCTGAGGGTGCTTCCAGTTGCCAACAGTGACCTCTAGCCAACAGCCAGCCAGAAAACAGGGACATCAATCCTACAACCACAAAGAGATGAATTCTGCCAACACCTGAATGTGCTTTGAAGAAGACCCTGAGCCTCAGATGGGATCACAGTCCTGCTGACACCTTGATTTAGCCTAGAAAGACCCTGAGCAATGGACCCAGGTGCCTGGTCTCCTGATGCATGGAAACTATGCATCAGGTGATCTGTTAGGCAGCAAGAGAAAATCAATTTCACATGCAATAAAATAAAAACAATGGCATGCACATGCCCTTCACAATTGCAAAGTGATCACCAGGCCCACACCTTACCCAATTGGGCCTGCTGAGGCCTGCACCTTCACGCAGTGCCCAGGAGTGTCCACTGGATGAACCTTCTCACACTGATGATCAGGCAAGGCTGGGAGGCTGGGTGGGGCCGTTTTGATTTTCTAAATTTCGACTTCACAGATGGAGAAACTGAAGCTCAGATACATTTCTCTGGGGTCATTTAAAGAGTCCACAGAAGAACCTGGACTCAACTTCAGGCCTTCTGATTCCAAAGCCAGGGATCTGTCCTCTACGCCGCCACTCCCAGCATGATCCTCTCCAAGAAAAGAGTTGTTTTAAACTTAAGTCCCAAGGAGCTGAAGGACTATAACTTTTTTTAAAAAGTGTAACTCAGAGTGGCTGAAAGAAGGTGAGTGTCATGAGGTTGCCAGTGCCCTTCCCCCTCTGGCATGGCATCCTCCCCTGTCTACCCTTCAGTTGCATGGTGGGTAGGGGTCTGGCAGGGAGAGGCCAGTGCTATTGCAGGCACCAAGGCTGCAGCTGACGCATGCCCTGCTCCAGGAGCCCTCAGCCGAACCTCCAAGTGCAGCTCAGCGTTCCTGCCCTTCTCTGACCCAGGGAGACAGAGAGCCCAGCCAAACTACTCATCAACAAACCCGCTGTCATGTGTCATTAATGGTGTCAGATCAAATCCAAGCAACAATTGGAAAAACAGATTGCAACATTGTGCTCTTTATTGCTGGTGTTTCTGTGGAGCATTAGCAATAAAAAGACTCCAGAGAGGCACTGTAAAGGAAAAAGCGAAAAAGCAAAAAAAAAAAAGCAAGAAAGGTACTTTTTCCCTTGCTGCAAGCTTCACGACACAACCACTTTGTAACATGCACTATATGCAGCAGCCACTCTGCACAAGGCCCAATAACCTCCTTCCAAATGGTAATAAATCCCCTCGGACCCCAACACACTTGTAATTTACAACTTGGCTAAAATGAACATTATTTCAAGCTAAGCGTATTCTCAGAGGTGCAGGAG